AAACTAATAGTCTACCAACCAAAATAGAATCATTTACATGAGCGTTTTCACAATCACCTCCAAACTCTTCGGATGACCAATTACTTGAGGTACAAAATCTACAAAGGCGTAATGGCGCGGCAAGCTCCCACGGCAAGTAATGTCGTCACTTATATGATACAATTTCTCAAAGTCTCGTAAGATTTCCTCTAAATAACCTGGCTGGTAAATTTCTTCTATTAATGGGATTTTAGAGTTAAATCCATACGCAAACAACCCCCCAAGGAAATATGACTTTTAGAAAATCATAGTTTCGAAATCCTTTGTTTTTGAACTTTTCATATTTCTCTTGGTAAAAATTAAAATGTGAAAGAAAAGAAAACAAATCAATAAAAAATTATGGAGTAAAGAGAATTAAGCCCAAAAATATAATACCAACTTAAACTCGTTGTTCTGGCCCATATCTCATCTCTGCATATGACTTGGTTATTTTTATTATACCAAATATATCCTTCAACTGTCTTGAGGTTTCTAAAGACATAGGTATAATCTCTAAATTCAAAAAAATACCCCACGAGTTTATTAATTTCAATTTTTGTAAGGAAGCAAGATAAATGTTCATCGTGCAATGCATATTAATTTATCCCATGAAAGAGTTGGCGACATAAAATAGAGAGAAATCATTTCTTTGTTTTCGTATTCTATGAAGGCATCGGGTTGTTTGATTTTTCACAGATAAAATTTTTAACTTTTTCAGCAAATAAAGAGCAAGACGGATTATTTAGCAAATTAGGGTGTTGAAGTACTGCGAGAAGAAAAATCAGAAAATTTGATTGAAACGAAGAGAAAAGTAGGATTACTGGATGGTTTAAGATACTTTTGGGACTTAGGAGATGGGATTATTTTGCAATTGGGTATGTTGTGAGCAGTGATGAGTGATGATAATAAAATTAGAGAGAAAATTTATTCCTAGAACAGTGATATATTTCCTCTAATAAATCCCATTTGAGAGAAAAGGGCGGTATGCGATAGAGAACCCAATTGAAATTGTGAATGAACGGACTTAACGCATTGCAGTACTAGCACTTTAAATCTTGTTAATTTGAAGTCCGTCATAACTAGCAAAAGAGTGGGTGGACAGGGGATTAGGAACTTGAGAATGCACAACATGCAAGTGTCTAATGTGGAAAAAGCCACAGCTAACACAACAAAAATAACCTTAAACTAAACTTTTTGAATTTCAAGAAAAATAGAGAGAAGAGAACTTACCTTCACAACGTGAGGGTCCATCGGTAACTGACGACAAGTGACGATTGGCGAGAAGAAATATCAACAAGCAACGAGATAATGATGAAGCGAGCTAGCAGTAGGAGCAAAGAACCAGCGCAAGAACAAGAGTTTGGAACCAACAACAACAACAACTGAGTGTAATATCCCACAACACAATTTGGAACCAAAAACTGTATTTTGACTTTTGATTTTAGGGATTTTTAATCCCTCATTTCCCCGCGTTTAAAAAAAATTGAATAGTACATAACGACTTCGTCTGGCATTTCTAAAAGTAAGAAACTACAATTCCTAAAAATATAAAAATTGACTCCACATATGACAATTAATGCAGTAATTTACGACCTAGGGACTGATCAGTTCAATAAACAATAACTTATGTTTAAGTTTAGAGGTAATAAAATTGTTATGACTTTATATCGAGTATGGTAACAACACATTACTTTACGATACTTCAGTAACATTTTACTACATATGGCAATTACAGCAGTAGATAACGAGTTATTAACGACCTAAGGCTTGAGTATTTCAATTTCAATAAACAATAACTTATGTTTCAAGGTTGAGGTTACAATATTGTTATGACTTTGTATTGAGGGAATGGTACAAAAAGCTCGTTAATTCACTTGGTCTAGCGCCTCTCTTGCTTCTCTTATGTAGTGGGTTCAAATCCTAGCAGTTGCATGTGTTGTTTGTTTTAAAATTTTGTACCCAAAAAGATTACTCTTATAATAAACTCTAGGCTGCTAGTCACCTTGTCAGTTGTCATGCTTTTTTTTTCGAGGAGAGTTTGTAGTAATAGTTTGAATGTTTTTTAATTAAATGATTCAAATTGTATTTTTTTTATATGATGTCGTTACGTAAATATATTTATTTATTCACTTCCGTTTATGAAAAATCATGTGTAGGCCTCTGACGGTATCCATACAATGTTTTATTCTGCTTTGTTATCTTTCTGCACTGAATGCAAGTTGCTCATGCATGATACTTGGTTTTTTAATATTAACTAATAACTAAAAGAAATAAACTAAAGCTACTGAGACAATATCGAAATGTATTCGACGTATATGAAAAAAGGATGTCATTTACCAAACAACGGGGCATTAATTGCTTTAAACAAATGACTTTGTTGTATAGTATTTTTTATTTTCTTATTTATCATCCTAGTCTTGGTGGGTGTAATTTATCTTCTCCACTGGCTTCTCCCCTCTCTTGGGTGGGACTCTCGATTTTAAAAGGTTATCGATCCTTCGAGGATCTTAAATGTAATAGACTTTGAGGATCTTATTCAAATAGTCGGCTGAATTAATATTTTACTTTTTCTAGCTATACATAAATTATATATTGATTATATACGGTATTATATATGAATTTTATATATCTTATATATACGCCGAATATTTTGGATCTAAACTACTAGGTGGGAGGCTATTTAAGTTAATTCTTTGAAATAATAATAACAATAAGAACAACTATAACAATAATAATAATAATAATAATAATAATAATAATAATAATAATAATAATAATAATAATAATAATAATAATAATGCACTTACCATCACCGTCGTACTTAAGTGAATTTGAATATGTTTAAAGAGAGCATGATTTCACGTCGGTACAAACGGATAGAGTTTAAACTAGCTAGAATACCTTCCTTAAAGATAAAAACAAAAAACAGAACAGTAAGGTCTTAATCTTACTACATAAACCAAATATTTAATCTCTAGTTTAAACCCTATTTCCATCTGGATTTGGTGAGAATATTGTTCCAAATCTTTATCCATTTCGAGGTATGATCGACTAGCGGGTCCCCTTCGTTGCAAGTAGTATGATTACAACATAAAAAATCAGTTTGGAAATCAAGTTTAAGCTTAATTAAGGATCCTTGTGGTTTGTAATTAAAGGGGGATAATCTTCTTGTATACATAATCAAAGTCTTTGTTAAGTGTTACTTTTAAAAAGATAAAATGGTGGTTAACAGTAAGCTTGAAAGGTGTATATCTAATTAAAAAGGGTTTTTTTTTTATCGTCCATCTAGAACTTTAATTTTATGTGGCAAGAGCTGTCTTCCCTTTTCTTATTTCAGCTCTATCTTTGCTAATTAAATTAGTTATTAGACAAATCTTGGTTAATCGTTTTCTTTCCTTTTTTTTTAAATTTTTGGGTTGCTCACAGAAGTACCAACATGCACTTACACCCGAACTAGTTTTTGGCTGGACTGGCTAACACTAGTGAATAACGTTCATCTAATTATAGGTGTTTAGGACCTAATTATTTCAAAGTCTTTTAATTCATATGATTACCAATTCTTCCATGTAAGTCGTCTATATAAGGCTACCACAAACCTAAACAAATGAAAATAACGACATAACCTCTTTCTATGGTTAGCGTTAAACATCTATATTATATTAAAAGCACGAAAATGTTTAGTAAAATGTTGTCGCCTTTTTACACTTTAAAATAGAGTTTACACTGAACCAAATAGTCAATTTAATTAATTTCCTAATATTTAGGATGGGGGGGG